ACATTAGGCCCCAGGTTCTTTCCTGGTACAGGCTAATATTTAAAACTGGAAAAGTACATAATGGTAGAGTAAGAACTTAAAATGTTCCCTTTCCCACTTTATCCCTGCTCTAAAATGCTATCTGCAATCTGTCGCAGTACAGATGGATAACAACGAAGTGCATGAAGCAATATCAATGCAATTATCCTTTTTTAGAGCACACTCAATTCTTAATACAGGGCCTTTAATTACTATCTATGATTTAACTGATTGTTTACATCAGTTACTTTAGAGATTTCAGGTCTGTGGCATTCAGGTCCTCTCCTCTGTGTGAAACCTTTCTCCTTTTATAGACTCAAAGATCCCCTGAGCCAAAATAGCTGCACACTGCCTCATGATGAAAACATCTGCAGACTTTCTGCAAAGCTGGAGTCTCCAACTCTCCCGATGGCATGAAAAGTTCCTGCTGAGACACAAGAAAGACTTTTGCCCATTTGTGCAAATGAAGCGATGCTGCTCAGTATTTTTCTTTTAAAACATCTCAGAGCAGGCTTTTGGAAATAGATGAAAATAGGCGGGTTCCCGCTCCAGGGGAGATCTCTGAGACCGCAAACAACTCAACTCGTTGTTGGGTTTGACTGTTGTATATTCATATGGAGACAGACGAGGGGGTCAGCCCTTATACCCTGTTAGCCTTTCCCTAAACAAACGACAACAAAAGAAGGAATTCCTCTCTGTCAGACTCTAGACCAGACTCTAGACACACACATAGGCTCTTTACACAAAGCACTGCAGCCTTTGTTGAAGATTTCGGCCCAAATCTTTTTACCATGAAGTAAAGACTGCTGCTTCTAAACGTCATCTAAGAGATAATGTGAAAGCAAAGACACCATTAGTTTAAGATACATCAGTGTTTTCCCTAATCATGGAATCAATCCACAAGTCCTAAAATTTGTGGTTTTTAAAAATCTTTTTGCCTTATAATTCCCTTCTGAAATATTTTAGTTTGCTTACAAATCTTGAAATGACCTGGTCACAGGTCCGTTTAACTTTAAAATCATAGATTTATACAGAAAATGTATTCACCCTTGTTTGCTGAATCGTTCTTAATGTTAACTTTTAACTCATTTACGTTACCCTTTTGAAACCGCGCCGAGAACGGTCCGAGGACAGTAACCGAGATAACTGTTGAGTGTAAATGGAACACAACCGAACTGGACCGTGCCAAACCGCGCTACACTACTGCTAGTTCAACAGTAGGGCTCGGCGTGGTTCATCTGTGGCTCGATTCTCTAAAACCAAAGAGCGCATAAGCAGATCGCTTCATCTCCTATTTACAGTCAGCTGACTCATTTTGCGGGTTTTCCAGCTTTGCAATTCACAGATCTCTTCACCTGTTCACAACATGAACTTCTTCTCAGCTTAGTAAACATCAAAAGTGCGACCTGGGATGATCCCGAGGGAAGGATGCCTTCTTTGCCTGACATGTCTAAGTGGACATTTGGCAAAATTTTATTTTAAATTAATTTTATTCTAAAATGTATTTTAATTTAAACATTTATCTTATTCTATTTTTATGTGTTTATGTATTTTAGCCTTAGCTTTTATCTTATGTTCCTTAACTGTGATTCCTGTACAGCACTTTGGTCAACCCCGGTTGTTTTAAATGTGCTTTATAAATAAAGTTTGAGTTGAGTTGAGTTACGCAAACAATGAAATACCACAAATTTAAACAAACATAAGTTCCTGAATGTTTTTGTTTGTGTAATTCCCACCTTGAGTGCTATAATATCATGGACCCCCAATAGGAGGCGAGGAACTGTGCTAGCCTGATGTGAAAGCTTGGTCCTAACTCGGCACAGATCGGGTTCAGAGGGCTAGTGTAAATGGGGCATATGATTTTAACCTGGAGAGAAAACAGCAGCTGGACAATTTTATTGATATGGAGAAAAGACCAAGTGTTAGGTGCTCAGAGCCTGGGAGAAGATGTCCTTCCTGCGACGAGTTGCTCTGCATAAGCAGGTAGATCCAGGCCCTGAACATCTTTCCCCCCAAGAGGAGCCTGGAGAATGAGCCTGAAGCCCTAAAAAAGCTGAGTCCAGAATGATAATTGGCTGATATGAAGGCGTGGAGCAGCTCTGATAGGCTGGAGCAGAGAATGATGAGGGGACTGGTGCCGAGTAAGAACCTTCCAGTTTAAATTTTCTACTTTACCCATTTTATTACCCAGCCACACTTTAAATATAACCTGTCAGAAAACACAAAGTAGACTAAACTATGTTGGTAAAAACAACACCTGGATCTAAAGCATCTAAAACAGACGATAAACAGCGGTATTTCATTTAGATCATTCTGGGAAGATTCAATCTCTCTGGGTGAAGAAATTTGAGTATACCACTAACAGCTATTCTTGAGACCCTGGGATGCCATCCAGCTACGATGATGAAATTTTTCAGGAGCGCTCACACTACCAGAAAGACAGAAATTATGGCACGAAGAAACAGTTTATTGTGGTAATTTATAGGAACTTTTAAAAACAGGGTATGTGTGGAAAGTTCAGGGCTATCAACTCTCATCCATTGGGCGTGAGACTCACGCATCTCATTGTCTTCACAGGCTCACGCTCCGTATCTCCAATTTTTTGCTAAAAAATGAGTAAAAGTCAACCCCATTATATATATATATATATATATATATATATATATATATATATATATATAT